GGTAGCCACACTGGTCACCAGCGCCTCTTTAATGCTTCTCTTTTCTCCTGCCCAGACTTGTAAATAGGAAGCAAAAAAAGACGTTTTGTAGTTTTATTTATATGTTGAGAGCCTTATATCAAAACTGTATACACACTAATTTTAATTTTTACTTACCCCACGTCTATTGTTTTAGATTATTTATTTTTTGGTTTTTCAAGACAGGATTTCTCTGTGTAGCCTTGGAGCCTATCCTGGCACTCCCTCTGTAGACCAGAGATCCTACTGCCTCTGCCTCCCGAGTGCTGGGATTAAAGTTGTGTGCCACCAATGCCTGTGCTGTTTTAGATCTTAAATGTCACTTAAAATTCTGACTTGGGACCCTCCGTCCTAAATGGGATGTCTTCATCAAACCCCTCCCCTCAGGGCTCAGGAAACTATTTGGAAGAGGAGGCAGAAAGAGTGTAAGGGGCAGAAGGGATGGATGATACCAAGAAAACTGTGTCCTCCAGACACAACAGGAATGACACACATGTAGACTCACAGAGACGGTGGCAGCATGCACAGGGCCTGCACAGATTCAAGCCAGACAGGGTTCTAGTGCTAAGAGGAGAGAGTAGACATGAGCTCCCATTCATAACTGGGAAATTACCTCCAACTGACAACTACTAGCAGAGGAAACATTGTTTTCCTACAATGGAGTCTAACTGGGTATACAAACCACACTTAAAGTCAGGCCCTGTGCCCAGTAGTAGATGCTGACAGAAAATGAGCTCAGTGGTGGATTTGTGATTTTTTTCTTTCATATTACTTTGTTGGAGTATTTATTTATTTTTTTATATTACTTGCCTTTTACTTGTGTATTATGGTTTCCAATTTAGTATCATTATGGGTCTTATTTTCTTGTATGTGTATACCTGTATTTGCCCTGTGTATGTGTATGTCTTGTGCCTTTTCTTTGTTTTTATTATCCTATTTTTTTAATTTGTGTGAGGAGATAGGGAGAGGATCTGGGGTGAAATGAGGAAGGGGGAAAGCAAGATCAGAATGTAGTATATGGACAATATATTCAATTAAAAATGCTTTTTGACAAAAACAAATTAAAGCATATCTTGTATTCTCTTATGCAAACCTCCATTCTCTGGAATTCTAAGAAAGTCAGCATGCAACATGTGTGTGGAATTGTAAATGAAATACTAAAAACTAAAATGAAAACAAAACCACACTAGCATCCATGGAAGTTAGTGGGTACAGACATAAATATGGACATGGAAGACTTCCATGATTCCTCTGTAGTTGTTGGTTTCTCCCCTCCTGTGGCTCCCACTTCTTCCCATTGCTTCGCTCAGCTGCCTTGAACATGAAGGCTGCACATAATGATATTGGAAGTTATGGTCCATTAATATAAAGGAACAGGTCTCAAACAGAGGCAGTTTTGCCACCTAGGGGACAAGTAGCAATGTGTAGAGATAATTTTGCATGTTACAACTGGGTGGGCATCAGTGAATAGAGCCTGAGGATGTTACTATGTGTCCTAGGATGCGTAGGGCAGCCCAAGGACTGAGGATCATCTAGCTCAGGATGTGAGCAGTACAGAGACTGAAGCATCTCTATAGAGAGAGCACCCAGTGCATTTTAGCAGTTCAGTTGTCTGTCATTAAAAACACTTAGATTTTACTTTAAAGATATTAATTGATTTCTTCACTTTCCCTCCATCTTGAAAAGAGCCCAAGTGAGCTTTGTGCCCCCCTTCCCCCATGACCTAGTTAACACTCTCCCTAGCTGGCAGCTTATTAGCTCCTGGTAGACAAGAGCTAATGGAAAGTTGACACTCAACCAAGATGCGCTTTTCAATGTTACCTCCTGGGGTGCTGAGACTTAATACTTAAGAGTCGAACACATTTATATACTAACTCAATGGATTCTTTGAAGGCAGCTTTGATTTATGTTTTGAAAGCACTTTTGAGGAATAATACATAGAGAAGAGCTGGTCAACATGTTGGCCCTTATAAAACTTAAAGATACTCAACAAGTAGATACTCTCAGTCTAACATAAAAGCTGCGAAAATGAATATGTTCTATAAAAGGGAATTACATAGTATGCTCACTTTTTTCATCCTGTTTTGCTCTAAGAGTGAGGATATTGAAAGTGATGTCCCTGACTTTGTTTCTGGGAAGAGTTTTACCACTACAATCTCTGGTGTATTGATCTCCACAGGGTGGAAGGCAGTGGTGAAGGCTGCAGCAAACAAAGGGAAAGTTCAGAGGTGTCAGTAAAACATTGATTACTCCAGGTTGGAAGGAGAACCACTTGTGTCAGAGAGCAAGACAAAAATGAGACCAGTAAGAGAGAAACAGTGGGCTGAGAACAGGACCAAGGGCCTAGTCACATGAATGCTAGCAGGAATGTGGAACTGTATGACCAAAGTCTGAAAGGGATGAGGATTGAAGACTCAACTGTGCAGATTGTAAGCATGAATGAGGGAGCTGCCATTTTGGAGGGCTCAGGGCAGGGAAGGGGCAGCTGAGTTTAGCAGTGAGAAGGACAAGGGAAAAAGCCAATGGTGGCAGAATTGTTAGGATGATTGAAGGACTTCAGTCAGAGAATTGCTGCTGTGGAGACAGTTAAGGAAGGGAGAAGCAGAGAAATCTAGGAGAACAAGGACAAATAGGTAAAACGAGATGTGAGTAACTCATCAATTTGAAATTCTTATCAACATCTGATACAGTTGTGTAGTTTTATCCTGAGTTACTCTACTAAATTAAAATCTCAGAGTCCGTGTGTGTGTGTGTGTGTGTGTGTGTGTGTAGAAGGTATGTGTGTATTAGATTCCCTTTCTTTGCTCTGATAAAATACCTTGAGATAACCAATTTAAGGAAAAGAGTATATTTTAGCATGCAATTCTGAAAGGTTACAGCTCATCACTGTGGAGATGTCAAGGTAGCAGGAACTGGAAGCAGTCATTCACATCTACAGTCAAGAGCAGAGACAATGCCTGCCTGCCTGCCAGCTCAGCTGACTCTTCTCCTTGTCATTCAGTCTGGGGAGGGGGTAGCCACCCACATTCAGGGTAGCTCTTCCCACTCAGTTAACCCAACAAGAACATTCCTCACACTCACGTCCACAGGCCAATCAGTTTAGACAGTTCCTCAGTGAGACTCTTTTTCAGGTAATCCTAGATTGTGTCAAGTTGACAGTTAAAACTAGCCATCACAGCAGGTGTGCATGTGAATGTGAGTGCCACATATGTGCATATATGTGTGTATGTGTGTGGAGGTCAGAGGACATCAGGTGCCCTGGTCTATCTCTCTCCATCTTGTTTCCTTGAGACAGAGTCCCTCCCAGTAGCTAGGCTGCTAGACACCAGTGACCTTCTTGTTTCTCTCCCCCCTCCCCACCGCCGCCGCCACCACCACTGAGGTTACAGGCATGCACAGCTACATAAGACTTTCATGTGTGTGGGAGGCTCGCTGCGAATTCTGAATCAGGTCCTCATACTTGGTCGGCAAGCATTCTTACCCACTGAGCCATCTCCCCGCCTCTAGAGTTCCTTTTTATCAGAATGTTGGGCAAAATGTACTATAGACATTTCTCTTACTTGCAAATATGTAAATAAATAATCTTCCGTTTCCCTGTATCCCTGGGCCCTTGGTCTTAACTATAGTGATTATAAAACATTAGAGATAGAATACATTTAAATATTACCTATGCAGAGACATGCATATCCTCAAAACACTGGAGGGGCTGGCTGTTCCCTCTCTGCTGTGTGTCCCCCCTCCATGTGGGTGTGTTGGAGACTCACCACTCAATTCATGGTACTATTGGTAGGTGGTAGGACCTTTAGGAGACAGGGCGTGGTGGAAGGAGGTTAGGTCCTTGGGGGCATTCTCTTAAAGGGAATATTAGGACCTCGGCCCCTCCTCTTCCTCTAGTTTGTGAGGTGAGCAACCCACTCCACTATGAGCTGGTGATGGCGTGCGGCCTCAGCATAGACCATGGTGCACTGCAGCCATGGATTGAAAACTCTGATACTGGGAGCCAAAACTATCCTTTCCTCCTCACAACTGGATTTCTCACGGGTATTTGCTGCAATGGTGGAGAACTGACTCTCCCAGAGCACCCCACCCAACACAGTATGCATCATAGTAATAAATGACTAAATTATTATTTAAGTGTTTGCGTGTAAAATGATTGTTTATGGAGTATCTAATATGATCCAGGACTGTGATAAATTTATCTAAGTTCAGAGATATTTGTTCTGATTAAAGATTTATTGTTTTTAAAATTATATGCACTCGGGTAAGAGGGTATGTGAATGCTGAGTGTGGGTGCCCACAGGGGCATAGGAGCCCCCTGGAGTTGAAGTTACAGGTTGTGAGCCACCCTACATGGGGGGTGGGGTGGGAGATGAACTCAGGTCCTCTGTAAAAGCAATACACTCACTTAACCACCAAGCCAACTCTCCAGACTCCTTCATTATAATTAAAACAGATATTTCTGTTAGGGTTTCTATTGCTGTGAGGAGATGCCATGACCATGGCAACTCTTAGAAAGGAAAATATCAAATTGGGGATGGCGTACAGTTTCAGGGGTTTATTCCATTATCATCATGGCAGGAAGCTCAATGGCACGCAGGAAGACATGGTGCTGGAGAAGGAGCTGGCAGTTCTACATCTTGATCTGCAGGCAGCAGAAGAGCCTTGTCTCACTTTGGTTGTGGCTTGAGCTTATAAAATGTCAAAGCCCACCTCTTTTTACAGTGACACACTTCCTCCAACAAGGCCACATCTCCTAGTAGTGCCACTCCCTATGGGCCAAGCATTCAAACACATGAGTATCTGGGGGCCATACTTATTCAGACCACCACAGTTTCATACTCATTTCAAGAAACTGACGTCAAGATAAAGTTAAAATAAGCACTTAGTAAGACTGGTCACAACAACCTCTTGGAAAAATATCTCTATCCTTCAGCATTTGATGGCAACACTGTTGTCCTAATCATCTCTATTCTGGCCCTCAGGGATGCGCCAAGGCAATGACTATGGCACCCAGTACCGATCGGCAGTCTATCCCACCTCCAAAGCACAGATGGAAACAGCCCTGAGATCCAAGGAGGAATACCAGAAGGTAGGGCTGCCTAGATTTGGCCTGTTCAGGTCAGTGTGACCTCGGCTTGCTCATTGTTGAAGGGATGTTTGACTCTGCTCACTTGGGACCATACTCCAAGGCATACATTCTGGCCATTTCTGCTAGCCTCCAAGCAGAGCCATTGTACCAAAGAAATGTGTGTAATAAGACTCTAAGAGTGGGCCTGTGTGTATTTGTCCTTAAAATCAACTCATCCCAGTGAATATGTGGTATCTGTTTAACAGGCATTGTTGTCTTGGTTTTGGAGCTGGAATCTGAAATCAAAGCGGTGACAAGGGGAGCTTCTTCTGGGGCTTGAAGGAAGGACTAGTCCAGACTTTTTCCTGTAAATGTCACATGATCTTCCCTCTCTGTGTGTTTCTATGTTCAGTCCTGCATTTCTGTTCGATTCAGGCTAACCCTAGTAACCTCATTTAACTTGATGACTTCTGTGAAGACCCAACTCCAAATAAGGTCATGTTCTAAGAGCTTAAGGCTCCAATAGATCCTTTCTGGAAGACAGATCAACCCATGATATACACTCTCCAATTCCAGCAACAGTAAACTTAATTATAATAAAAGCATTTATCAGAAATATATGCATTACATCATGAAATAATAGTTCTCACTATTAACTTCTGTAATCTTTTAGAAACATCTCCGGTAGAGATTTGGTTTTCTAAAAAAACAAACAAACAAAAAACCACTTCAGTTGCTTTAATGTTTAGAGTTCTGTGATAATACTCAAATTTTAATTAAGATATTTTCTGATTTAACAATAGAGATAGTAGCTGCTCTGGTGCTGTAAACTGTGTGGGCCATCCACCATGGTGGTAGAGAGGATATTGAGGAAGGCTAGGATGAGGCATGTCTGTTATTGAGATGTATGGTCTGTTATTGAGGTGTATGTATCAGTTCCACTGTGATAGGAGATAGGCTGGGGGAGATGTTGAGAAGGTCACCTCCTTTCATCTTGTAAGGCTGTGTTATCACCTTGCTGGTATGGCAGGCAGTCTGGGGCACTGCTATCCATACATGATTCCCTCTGTGAGTCTGCACTGAATTTTGTGACATTTCTCACATTCCTTTATGGAGACTACAATATCAAGAGATCTGTATTTTCAGGAACCAAAGTCTCTCATGATGTGTCTGTGGGCACAGGGAGGGCGCAATGAGGCTAGCTATATACCTGTGCCTAGGTGACCATTATGATGTCTGTCGCACCGGTGGCAAGCTCAAGATAATGGGCTTGTGTGTGAGAATTTTCTGAGATGGTTGGTACCAGGAAACAGGATCTGGGAAATCAATGTAGTAACTTGAGTCAGTCAGCCATTTTATAGCAAACAGTAAAAAGAGAGAAAAATAAATGCCTACATGCTGCCTACCTGCTTATGCTTAGCTGTGTCCTGTCTCATACAGTTCAGGCCCCCCCTGCCCAGGGAATGATGCTACCCACAGTGGACTGGGTCTTCCCATATAACGAACTTAATTAAGTCAGCCTCCCACAAGCATGCCTGCAGGGCAACCCAATGTAGACAATTCTTCGTTTAGACTCTTCCATGTTGTATCAAATCAACAATTAAAGCTAATCATCACAGTGTGTAAGCAGTATCAGAAGCTACCATTCACAGTGTTGTTCTCCCACCAGCTCTGTTCCCTAGCGAGAAAAGACTGCTAACTGCTATTTATGTGTTGTGTATCACTCTGCTCACATGGAAGACAACTTTAGATACAGAAATTGTGAGCAGAGCGACACACAATACATAAACAGCCTTATTATGGCAAAGACAGTCCTAGTAGGATTGCAGCCACGGAAAAGGGTATCTGCTGAATGCCAATCACTCTTCTAAGTTTTTTATATAAATGAAGTCTTTTACAAATCTTTGATTATCCATACACTAATTACCTATGTATCTATATCTATAGCTATATCATCTATCTGCCATTTTGTTATCTGTCTACCTATCTGTATGTAGATGTGATACATACACTTAGACACAGTTATGCATATCTCTCTGTATCTTTATTGAAAATTGCATGCATTGGTGTAGTTCTGAGACCTTGTTTCTACTTTGAGAGCTTGTGAGAATTTCTGCCCATTCTCTTTGTATAACTGATAATATCAAAGAAGTCAACAATTTGCCTATGAAAGGTGATACAGTTAGCTTTCACTCAATAAAGATCCCGTATCATCAAGGTTGATTCTCAGATTTGTGTTTTCCCAGCTAGCGAGAGAGCAGCCCTGGATGACCTTGCCTGTGCTTTATGTCAAGGGTTACCTAGGACAAATTTTGGAAACAACAAAGACGTTTGCTCTTAGAGGCATCAGTTCTTCACGATGCCAGTTAAGCTCTTGCCCGCCATTATTTAGCCCCAAACATTTAGGCTTGTTTTGAGAGTAGATACTCCTTGTGTCATCTTTTCCTCTTTAAGGTCCCTATTACAGGCCTTCCATCTTGGCCATTGATCTTCTCTGAGTCTTCAGGGACCCTTGCATACTAACTATAATGTTGACTTAGGTTACTGATTTGATAGTCTCTGCTAGTTTGTCCCCCAGTGACCTGCAGGAACCAGCTTCTTCAGCAACTTCTTTATATTGGTGTTAGAGTAACAGCACTGCTTACCACAAAGCAGCCATTTGAACATAAAATTAGCTGATTTTATCACAGGGACCAATTGTTGAGCTAATTAGATGTGTAGGAGTGCTGAGGAGCCAAAAACCAAAAGTGATTTTTTCCCCTCCAAACTGTGGTTTTTCTGCAAAGTTGGCTGGTCTGTCAATCCCAGGCCCACCAGCAACCTAAAGATGAATTTTTCTCACTTCTGATCTGGTGGTGGGGATGTAGGTAGGAAGGTCCAAGAAGGAGGATCTAGCCTGCAGGAGCAAAACCCAATTTTCATTACCTTACAGAACTTACAGGACTAAGTTCTGCTAATGGAACTTGGTAGCTACTTCATGTCTTTGTGAGCTGAGGACATTCTTGAAAATGTGGCCTGTGCCTTCATCTTTGGAGTATGGCCTTTGTAGTATTGTTTTTTATGTTTAAACCTCTTTCCTTAAAGAGTTTAGTGGTAGGGTTATTTGTAAGCAAATATTTAGAGAAATTAATCAAAGATGGTATTGCTTGTGGATTATTATACACTGTCTCCCAGGTGAGTCCCTCCTAAGCCAACGTCTTATCATCACCTGCATGAATCATGCCCTCTGGGAATGGTAAGAATGGGATCCATGTGGGATTCCTTCATACTCAAAATGTGACTCCTCTCCATTTAAGAATTAGGTATTTTGCTGGGTGGTGGTGACATGCCTTTAATCCTAGCATTCAGGAGGCAGAGGTAGGAGGATCTCTGTGAGTTCAAGACCAGTCTGGTCTACAGAGTGAGTTCCTGGATAGCCAGGGCTACACAGAGAAACCCTGTCTTGAAAAAATAAAACCAACAAAAAAGAATTAAGTATTTTAACCTCTGGTAGATTGTGGGTCTTGAAATTTAAGAGAAAATAGATGTGAAGATAGCTCTGGCCAACCATATGACTTAACTCATCCCTATCTCCTCAAGACTCATGAATGGAAAACATGATTTCTTTGAATAGTTGTCTTTTCAGAAGAGAGAAGAAAAATCAGGGTTTTCCTTTGAGTGCATTTTACAACATACTCAGCTCTAAAAAGTATAAAACCTTCCTGGGGTGTATTCTAAGTTACTAAACATTGTTTGAAAATATATCTCCTTAATCTCTCTATCTGTTCACCCATCCATCCACCCACCCACTCACCCACCCATCCATCCATCCATCTACCCACCCATCTATTTCTCCAACCTCTCTTCTATCAGCCTAACTACTCACCCATCCACTCATTCTGCCATCTATGCATACACATATATGTTCAATATATATTCTTTAAATAATTTCTATAATTTTATTGTAATTTTCAATTATTTGCCAATTTATAATCTATCATCTATGTATTTGATTGTATGCAGTACGGTGTATATTCCTGGACCAAAGAACTTTTCATTTCTCCATTACTATAGCTGCCTTTCCAGGGCAGCCAGCGTGGCCATCATAAATACCATCCAGATCATTTCCCTCCCTGGTGCCTGACTCTGCCATGGCTGTCTTAGTGCATGTCAGAAACTCAGTCATAGCTAGACCCCAAACAATAATTGCACTCTCTTCTCAGAAGACATCTGTGACTTCTAGTGAGAGCCTCTCCCATGGTATGTCTACAGTATAACCTGTAATTCCCGCCCAAAGCTCAGAGCCTTTGAATGAAGCTGGAAGATTTCTGAATACCTGGGCAGTCAAAGTACTAATCTCAGATTTGGATAGGGGATGCCCTTTCAGGTACTACTGTCTTGTGGTCTCTGGTTTTGCAAGGAGTGTATGTTTATTCCCTCTACTAAAAACAAATAAACAACAAAACAAAAAACCTAACCTAAGAACTTCTAAAGTCAGGCGGTGGTGGCGCACGCCTTTAATCCCAGTACTTGGGAAACAGAGGCAGGCAGATCTCTTTGAATTCAAGGCCAGCCTGGTCTACAAGTGCTAGTTCCAGGACAGGCTCCAAAGCTACGGAGAAACCCTGTCTCCAAAAACAAAAATAACAAAACAACTCCTAAAGTGGCAATCAAAGATGACAGTGTAAAATAGTCCTAAGAGCTGGAAGAATGTTTGTGAAAGAAAAATGTCCCTCTCTGAATCTCTGCTCTTCTTCCCCTCTCCCTCCCTTTCTCCCCTTCCCAGTCTCTTCCGCTCCCTTCTCACCCTCTCTCCTCTCTATTTGTAAAATAATATTTAGAAGGCTGGAAAGAATGTTATAGTACTGTTTTAGTTACTCTGAGCTTGAGTTAATTTCTCCGAAGATTTACTATAAGAACTAAGTGACTTTTATATATCTCCATTTTTCCTTTTTTCCTTTTCTTCCTTCCAAGACACACACACACACACACACACACACACACACACACACACAC